TTGTCGTAAGTTAAACCCGTACTCTCTAATTGCACACTCACAGAGAGGGAAGACTGTGCAATCAAAAGTGTGCACCCTTGTCGTAAGTTATTAAAACCCGTACTCTCTAAACGGCGCCACTGAATTTAAACTCAAGCGTGCAGCGAATTGAGTTTTCCCTGCGCAGTTGTAACTGTGCACGCTAAAAATCAAGCCAATTTTGATTCCAACAGACTTGACTGCACATGCCACATTCTTCCCCACACACTAGAGTTTTACCTGTACCCCGTGGCACGTACATTTAAGTCTTGACTCTTCCCTCTCTGTGTGTGGCCGCCTTTATAGACACCTCATCCCCAACATATATTATGCGCTTACTTCTTGATTCCAAAATTTAATTTTCAAAATGCCATACTTTTTTGAATGCTAGTGCCACTGTCACATAAACAAGAATTTTAAATCAATGGTCGTTATTTTCCAATAAAACGTAAGATGTTCTGAACAACATTCTCGATGTAGCCACCCTCTCTCTGCACACGAGCTTTAATTCTGTTTATAAAAAACATCTTACACGTTCTAACATTTTGGAACCAATGTACTTGTTCTATTCTTTTTTGCAACTCAACATTTTCGAACGGCGTTACGATTCTCTTTCTTTTACGTATCGTATCCCCATAAAAAATAGTACAGTGATGTGATCGGGGCTGCGCAGTTTGTAGACGTTGTGTAGTTGTGTACGTTTACTCACTCTCAAACACTTTTAACTTATTTAAAAACTTTGTAAGTAGGATGTTTTCGTCCTGGATATTGCTGTGCGTACAAGTTTACAGCTAATCTAGCGTTTTTACCAGACACTTCGTGGGTTAATATCGTGCTTTTTTGACTTATTCTTCACCCTGCTCCTGAAGATGCCACTTACGAAAGTGTGCGAAACGTTGACCCCAAAAACTCAATTAACACGGTTCCAACCCGGAAAACGATCATGTATTGATTCCGACCGTAGAAGCCTCCGAAATTAGTATCGTTTATGAAGGAATACCTCGGCATCTTCGAAACTTGAAAAAATGTTGCTAATCAAACTGACAGTGACACAGCAATGCATACTTAGATTCATGATATTTTTCAAATTAAATTTTGAATGAAGAAGTAAACATATGTATAATTATGTTAAGTTTCCTGTAAAAAAGGGGGCCAATGAGTCATTTAGGCTGAATCAACCTGTATGTCCTTATTTTTGCTTATACATACTTAAAAAAACTTACACTTAAAAATATAAAATTTGTAAAATTAAGGTTGACAATTTTTCGAAAAATCTGTATTTTGTTATCGGGTAGGGGCGTCACGACGTCGCTGTGCACGTCGACGACCTGCCCTTTACTTAAGCGCACCGCATCTGATCCTCAGTTGACAACTGACCGCTTCCCATGTAGTGCGGAAAGGGTCATAAATGGCTCTTGCGTGGAGCTCTTTTGTCGGCGTTTCTTTAACATTGCTTAAATCAGGGATGCTCCCTGCTGTCATATTACCTCCACGATCCTACTAAGCAAAAGAAAATACAACATGATACAGCGCACGATTATTTGAAATTTTAATTTTGCTGCATATTTCGTGCAACAAGCCTTGCGAATTAAAGTCAAAAGTATTGTAGGTAAGCGAAGAAAAATGTTTTTGCCCCGGCGGGAATCGAACCACACGACACCCGCTTGCCGGGCAGGTGCCCTTACCACTAGACCACGGAGCCGGCTTACCTTTCTCCGCTTACTACTACTTATTTTACTGTCTCGTCACAGTATGTACTAGATACGTTTATTAAAAAAATATTTGTGTATTGTGAAAACTTTCATTATTAATGAATAAAGAGTAAATGGAAACATTTTTGAAACCAAGACGTCATACAAAAAATCCCAAAGAATCAGAAAAAAAAAGATTGTTTGTGGTTTTATCTTGTAGAGTTTAACGATGGTGGATTGCACCATCAGAGTTGGTGTAAAATTTTCATCAGACTTACACATTGTACTTTATCATAATAACCAAGAAATTCATTGGGATAACCTAAAATTCTGCCAAAATTGAAGTTTAAAAAAGTGGCCACGAACTGTGATCGTCAGCAAAGTGGAGCCCTACGTTGTGTTTTGAAATGGCGGAATGTGTTCTGATATAAATTAGCGCAGTGCGGAGCGGAAAGTGTGTAGGAAGTCAAAGTCAGCACTAAAAGGGAACATCTTGTGTTAAATATTGGTGAAATGACTAGAACTGAAAAGAAATCTGTAGTTTTACATTAACAAACAAATGGTCGAAAACTTAGATCATATAATAAATAGATACCACCATGCCGTGTTCTTTCCCTAGCAGAGCCTGTGACGACATCCTCCAGTCACACATCTCTCTCGTACATGAAGGGATTACAATGAAGCTATCCTTGCCTGATCACTATTTGAATTTTGCGTGCCTAAATTTTAGGAAGTATGTCTGAACTAACTTCGTACGAAAGATGTTGACAGCTTGATTTTATAAATAATTCACAATAGATAATGAAAGGAATAGTAAATTATTGGGCAGCAATTGTGATCCTTTATGATTACATCACTTGAAATAGGATCTTTGTTGTAAATTCTAAAATTGTTTTTTGTACAACAACTCGAAAGAGAGGTTAGAAGAAACATCTGTCAAAAGCGATTTGTTGCGCTGGTGCGGTACAAGGATGGAAGTGAAATAGACATATACAGATGAAATGCATATAACAAAGATGAAGATGTGGTGATCACACAAGGATAGCATTATACTACTCCTCTTGACGTAGAAAACGACAACAGATAGCTTCATGTCTAGTCACAGCTTTCAGTTTGAGTATTGGTATCTATTTATTATATGATCTAAGGTCGAAAAGCGGTTCCTCTTTTGAGAAAGGACAAAAGCTGTGAAATAAACTTGACGAGCGTATTTTCCCAGCTACAAAACCCTCCATCTTTTGTAAAAACTCAATTATAAATGCTGATATAAAATTATTAAAATCCTGTCAGTGACATAAAAAAAAGTTCACAAAACCCTAACTAAAGTAAATGGACGGGAATTCCACAATTATTACAATGGTGTGTCGACGAATTTACCTGAGCAATTGGACAAAAAATAACAATGAAATGAATTAGACCACGTTAAATATTTGGTTTATTCGCACAGACCCAGCACCAAACAAACCACACCAATCACCTCAAGAGTTAGAAGTGTTGTTTATGCTGGTGCTATACTCACTTACTGCAACGAGACACACAGAAGATGCCAACTTAACGGGGATGAACTGTGGTACAGAGAATTAATTTTGAAAAATTAAATTTGAATGTTTTTAAAATTGAAACCAAGCATTTAATAAGTATCACAATTGTAAAGAAATAAAACTTTAAGTACGCCACACACTGTCAAAAATGTTGAATAAAATTTTATATGTTCTTAAAATATCTGTTACTGCAAGGTACTAATTAACTAGAAATGAATTGAGCAAATTTACGTCATTAATCGAATTTTCCCACAAGATATAAAACAAAATACAGTCGGCACAAATCATATAAGTACCAGATGTGCAGTCGAACCTCAAATACGGCAGTTTTGTATATATTTCAGCTTGAATGTGCACTTTCAAAATAAAATATTTAAAATTCTAGTGGTAAAATAATTAGATATTGAACATATATGTGGTATTAATTTAAAAAGCAGACAGTAAACATAAAATAAACATCAAAATACCTATGTGGTATTAATTTCATCGATAATTTGGGTGAAAATGATGAAGCGGTGACTATTAGAAAAAAAAAAAAAAAACAGGCCAAGAGTCAAACCATGACCCATTAAGCGATCCCAGCCGCCGCCGTTCCCCTTAGTGGTGCCCTATCGCTCTTACATGGGTTGTAATTTATATTTATTTTGCGTTTTTCTGTATGAGAAATTATGTATATATACAAAGATAATGTGTCAAATCCATCTAAGAACCGTAAATAAGTATAACATTAATGAAATTGAATTATATTCTAACTAATAGATTTTCTGAAAAGGCCCTGCGACAACGGTTATTGAAAATGCAAAACTAATAAGAGAGTGACGATTCTGGTGAAACGGTCGTTCGGACACCTACTAGAGATTTCCTCAGCGGGCTTCGGGTCGTGGTTCGGATGTTTCCACACCAAACAGTCCTCAGGGTGGTGCGCCCCCGGGTACATAAACAAGTACCAGCTGATATGCTAATGAAGAAAACGTTGCAATAAGCACGCACATACGTGTCCAATTCACCCTCACTCCAAACGCGCTTACCACTCCCAAAGATCTCCCGTCTTCGCGAGTGAAGAAAAATATCCTCGGATTCAAGAAACAAGCGTAGTGTGGTTTGTGGATGAAGCAAAAAGGGCAGCACAGGGATACAACACACTGTAACAATTTAAGACACACAGCAAAAAAGCGATTAAAATCGAGATTCTGATACAACCTTTAAGCACACTGGTGTTTTAAAAACTGCTTTTGGACGCCGACTCTTCGCGCCGTCCAGACGTGCCTCCCCCACCTCCTTATGCACGTTGTATTCCCCATTGTCTGTTGGGTGCGCCTTTTCTTATCCAAACTCAAATTCAAATCGGGCCATTACATCTTCCACGTAATTTACGATGGATTTTGTGAGGTACTTCGGGATTCGTTCAAAAACTTCAGAAATGTAACTTTTGAAGTTCTCTTTTACCTATAATTTCTAACAAGTTGGCGGTGATAAACAAACCATCCGGGCTTCACTGAACTAGAGAAGTTTTGAAAAGTGATGCGATATGGGTTATGTAATCTTTGCATTTCAGGTACTAATTCTTAAAAATCTAAAGAAAATTTATTATATATAACATAAAAATAAAAATAAATTACGGAAGTGTCACGCCAAGTTTCGTGAAGGCAAAAGGTGGCAAAAGGTAGATTAAATTAAAACCATAATTTTAAAATATTAAATAAATACCGTTAAAGCAGTTGACTAAACGGAAAAAGTGTAATATTAAAAATTTTGGTTAAAAAATATTTAATTTATTATAACAATAAAAATGAAACAAACAAACAATAGTAAATTGTTCTACAAGTAAAGAAAAGTGGTCGTTTTACACGCGTGCAACATACTATTTTTTCGTTTTTTTGAAGTTTTTAAACATAAAAAAAATAAAGTCGAGGCCCCAAAAAAAAAGTTCAATCTAAATATAATACTCAAGAAATGTTTGGCACAAAAGTTTTCGACTCTTAGTTGCCATCATCTTCTAGAATTACAATTTCAAACCTAAATAATAACTACGGATATTTACAGTTGTCAAGTTCTTCTGGAATTACGTTTTCTAATGTGGTTGCTAACTGGAAAATTGCCACTTTTCTTTATTGTTTTTGATAAAAAAAAAGTATGCTTTTCTAGCGAGTACACGAAAAAAATATGTATAAAGAAAAACTCATCTCCGACACCACTGTTGTGATCGCAAGCTTGATATGATCATAAGTTTTTCTCTACATTTCTAAAATGGTTGTACTCTGCCTCATCTTCGAAGTCAGCCATTGCGACGTCACTAAAAATTTAATACATTAAAACATGTATTCAAACAAACAAAAAAATTTCACCTCAACAAACTTTGAAATTGTACAAATTTCGTTTTCTCAAAGATTCCGGAATTGTGTAAATATTTTATTCCATGTACAGCCGCTGCTTCATGTGACTTCTCACGTGTTGCAGCTTTACCTAAGCACAACTATAAGTTAAGCATATTAGTAACAAATAAAAAAAATACAATTCCAAGATTTACGTGAGGAGGATCCACGCCCAAAGTCATCAATGAGAAAAAAATGTCTCCATAATTACTTAAATCCGTAAATTCCATAGGAATGTTTAATTTACTTCCGACCTCTAATATTTTATTTTTTAAAGAACTCCCTTTGCTTGTGCCTGTTGTTTTGTCATCATCATGAGACGATTGATAATTATTTGTGGTAATCTTTTCATTTTCTGGCCAAAGTGAGGAAGCCATATACAACAGATCCTTCATAACACTACTAACATTCTCCTTTATAATCTTTGGATTTTTCTTTTTCTTCTTTTTGTTAGACAGACCACGAAGTATCCCGTTCTCGTTATATTTTTCTGGCAAGTGGGATAAATACTTTAACATTTTCTCGGCTGCTGTTTTCTTTGATTCTTTTTTAGAAAAGCCCTCTCCCTCTGTTATAAAATCACCCATTATACATTGGGTTACAAAAACTTTTTTGTGGGATTTCCCTGTCTCACTAATTATATTAAATTCCACTTTCAAATTATGCTTTTGACCTGCTTCATATACTCGTGATATAGGAGACTTTATGCTTTCCTTTGTTTTCTTACACTCTTCGACAGAATCTGTAACGGTAATAAATTCGTTATTATGATCGATGGCTTTTTCGACAGAACTTCCCTCGCCCTTGAAGTATAATCCGACAAATCCCTCTTTAAAAAAATTATAAAATGTTATTTTACGATTTTCGTTTTGAAATAACGGCTGTAAAGTAAAAACCAGCGGCATAAAGAACACCCCCGCAGCCCCTGCGCCGTACGGAATATGTAAAATATATTTAAAGCACTTAACTAACGGGATAAAATGCCCTTCAACACTGGACATAGCAATCTGAAGCTCAAGTGTTTATTTATGTTTATACATCGAAAGAATGTCACGTAGAAATTAGTTTGATTTGAATAACTGTGTCTTCTCAAAACAAAGGAGTAAAATTATTAATTAAACCACATCAGTGGCAAAGTTCTAGTATTGCCTCACTTAAATATCAATTTGGAGTAACTGTCAAGAGATTTGGAACTTATTTACTTTTCTTAAATTCAAGTTTATCCCTGCTCTAATCTCAAACACATAAAAATTACATGGCGTCATCTCAAATAAATAAAAATGATACTTCACCTTCCTTCGAACACACATTATCTCTGAACAAAGCTTGCTCCTCCATCTTCCTTAAGGCTTTAAAAGCAGCATCATGACGTGCAGCTTGCACAGTATGAGCAACACCTTTAACTGATAATAATTCACCAACTTTCACTTTTACAGTGAATGGCCCAGACAATTGTGGATCTTCCACAGGAACTCTTAGAGGATCGGAAGAGCTGTTTATTTTAGGATAGTAACTCTTTGATTTTCCATATGGTTCATCAAGAACACCATAACTATTTATTGTCTAAAATTGATAAATAAAATAACAATTAATAACATACTAAATAACACAGGCCTACATTTTTTTGCGGATGGTACAGAACTAAGTAAATGTTATTAATTTGTTATTACCATTTTATGTACGGCCTTTTCCTTATAATAAAATATTCTGTTGGAAGTCTTCTAATGATCAACCATTCGCGCTGTTTTCTAATAATTCAAAACTGCATTGTTTGCAAATTTTAATTATTTGAAATATTGTTAGGTCTTCAACCAGACTTTACCAAATACCCATGTTTTTTATGTGAGTGGGATAATCGCAGTTGGGAAAAACATTGGATTCGTAAAGAGTGGACCGCTAGAAAAATTTGTATTCAAAATTCCAAAAATGTTTAGGCAAACCTACACAAATTTTACTGCCACTTCATATTACATTGGGCATTACGAATGAATCTGTAAGAACCTTTGCTTTCAGTATTTTAATTAAGCAACAATAAAACAAGGAATTTTTAATGGCCCTCAAATTCGAAAATTTATGTGACTCAGATTTTGTAAAATCTATTAAACAAATAGCAAAAAAAAGTGTAGGACGCTTTTAAAAATGTAATTAACAAATTTCTTTAGGAACCTAGAATGTAATTATGAAAATATTGTCGAGAATATGCTTGATAAATTTCACATTCTGGGCTGCAACGTAAGTATTAAACAACCAATTTTCGAGAGCTTATTGAGGAGAATGGTTTCATAACGATATAAAACATATGGATAGAAGATATCGATGGAAGTGATGTAGGAATATGACCAACTACTTCTGATTTTTAATTCGTGAAACATCGTAAAATAATCATGACACAAATATATGCCAAATGCACTGAAAGAAGATAATGCATAAAGTAGTAAACTGTTCTTAGTTATAAAAAGTTAATGTTATATTTTTGAATAGAAATATATTTCACTGAAGCATTGTGTCTAATTAATTTAAAAAAAACCTTGGAACAGTTTTTAGATTTTGATTTAGAATATTTTAAACAACAAAGATTACCTAGTTCCATTAACATCCGCAAAATAAAAAAAAAATCGCAGGCCTTTGTAATTAGGTAATAAATACCTGCTCTTCTTGTCCATTCAATAAATAATATGAAACATGTATGCCCAGTTTCATTGCAACATTATTTAGCAAAACTGTAGGTGTTTGTAAATTTTCCTGATTTTCTTGTATTCTTTCTGGGGGATGTTCATACAAAGTGTTTCGCAGTGCTTGACCTGCTGCTGACTGTTTAGCTTTTTTTAAACTAGGACCTGACGCCTCATAAGTCTCGTCTCCTAGTATCAAGGCAACCGTGAAAGTTTTTGCATGAGGTGGCCCCTACAACGTTAAAAAAATATGATCGTAATTATTGATATTAAAACTGTTACTTCTTCTGTTAGCAGTTTGTAAACAAACTCAATTCCATTATACTGTGCCAATTCATTTATTTTTGATGTCATACTTGCATCGAATCTTCTAGTATTATTGAGCAAAGTTTCCTCAGTTTGAGTTGACTCTTCTGTAACAATATACTTATATAACAAATCTATATAAATATGTTGTGCAACTTACCCATCAGCAAGATTTTATCACTTTTGTCTGAAGAAAGTGAAAATAAAGATGCTGAAATAACAAATTTTAGATAGGCCTTTACAGCAAGAAATTGTATGTTATTCAATTTACCTTCTATGCAGTGCTTGTTACCAAAAATTGACTGTAAATCTTCAATTGACATAGCATGCAACAATGATAGATGGAAAAGTAATAGAAGAAAAATTGCCATTATTTGCAAATAACATAACATGTTTTATTATATTCCTTAATAAATGGGTTGTGGGTAAAACTTAAACAAGCAAGTTTCTTTCGATTCAATTAAGTTAAAGCTGTGAGCTGTATGGAACATAATTTCACAAAACACGTTTCACCATACAAACATTCGCCATCTTATTGTTAGATTTAGAATTTAGATTAAAACATGTGCTAAAACGTTGCATACTTACTATTTACTAACTCGGGACTTTCAGGTCAGGCTGTGAATCCTTCTAAAATAAAAATTTATTTATTGCTACATTAATGAAAATATATACAATTCGTTCAAATCTTTCTAACACATATTATAAGTTAATAAATCTTGTAAAACGTATTAGAATCAGTATTATTGTCGTCGCAAATATTTTTTTTACCAATTTAAGTTTCATTGTTTTGCCAACCAACTTCTGTTGCAAAAGCCATGTCGCCATGTCGTGATTGTTGACACAGAACATTGTTGATTCCTGTGCTGTTCTGTGCCTATGTTCAGTTTTGTTCATCTGTCATTCATTCAAATTTTAGGTTATGTTTTGAAAAAAATGGGAGAATCAATTCTATAAAAAATTGAATAGTGCAAGTCCTGTGATCTTAATTGTAAAATTGTATTTTGCTATGAAGTCGGTGTTAATGGTGGCCGAGAAGCCATCGTTGGCGGCTTCTTTGGCTAGCATTTTAAGCAACGGTTCCAATTCAACACGAAAAGGTAATTTGTAAGTACGCTAACATTTAACTCACAAAATTTAGCAAAATTGTAGGCTCTAATGGCGTTTGCTCTGTCCATGAGTGGAACGGAACATTCCAAGGAACTTCAGCTAGATTTAAAATGACTTCGGTTTGTGGTCATGTAATGGGTGTAGATTTTATAAGTAAGTACAACAACTGGGATCGCGTTGATCCAGTTGAACTCTTCTCATGCCCCATTGAAAAGAAAGAGGCAACTCCGAAGTTTAAAATGCCGGCATTTTTAAGTAATGAGGCTAAAGGGTGTGAAAACCTTATTTTATGGCTTGATTGTGACAAGGAAGGTGAAAATATTTGCTTTGAAGTGATGAATTCTGTAGCAAGAAGTATGGCGGGAGACGTGTATTCTAGAAAGGTGACATATAGGGCTCGGTTTTCCGCAATTACAGATAGAGATATAAAAGCCGCTTTTAATAACTTAGGTGAGCAACTAAGGACTGTTGTGTGAGAATTGTCCAAATTCTTTGCTTTTAGCTCATCCAAATGAAAATGAAGCCAGAAGTGTTGATGCCCGACAAGAACTGGATTTACGAATCGGATGCGCATTTACTCGCTTCCAAACGAAGTTTTTTCAAGGTCGTTACGGCGATTTAGATTCGTCTCTAATATCATATGGCCCTTGCCAGACTCCTACTTTAGGCTTCTGTGTACAACGACATGATCAAATTCAGACTTTTAAGCCTGAACCTTATTGGGTTATCAAAGCTGTTGTTAAGACGAAAGATGGCGATGACGTCAATTTAGAATGGAAAAGAGTTCGATGTTTTGATAAAGAAGTAGCCAATATGTTTCTTCAACAGATCAAGGATCAAAAAGAAACGAGGTAACGTATATGTTTTTGAAAGTTGTTTTCTGGCAGCAATAATAATTATAGTAAGTACCAACATGCAGTAAAATTAGAGGTTATATCACTTTAAATAGAAATGAATAATGTATCTCTAAGGAACTGGGTAAAAAGCCAGTAATAAACGACGTAGGGTTTATTTTGTCCTCTAGTTTTATGAATAAATGGTGACAGCTTTCTGTTTGAATTTTTTTTTGTGTCGCCATAACCGCATTTCTATATTGTTTTTTGTTTTTGGGACATACTAAAATTGCGAAAGACATTGTTAGTATTTGCACTGGTGCTTCAGTTAGGTACTTCTCTTACGCTTATCTGAAATTGCCACACCCTGAGAAATCACATGTCTGTTTGTTTTTAACTTTTGGCTTTAATCGACAAATTTTTGACGCAATCATATTAAAGGATAATGTTATCTTGACAAAGTTTTTGTCAATTTGAGTAGTAATTTTTCCAAAATTTTGTCTCTAAATATAGATCATCAGTGGCGGCTCGTGGTGGTTTTTGATGGGTGGGCAAAGCATTGTGGATATGTTATAACATGTATGAAAAAAAATTATATATACACAGGGTGAAACTTTCAAATGTCTCGAAAAATAAGCACTCTGCGAAAAAATGTCCAGAATCAAAATTTAATCATACCCCGGGGGATATAAAATAGTGCTAAAATTAGCCCCCCTCTCTTGTAGGTGGGGAAGGGGTTAACTTCGAAACCTTAACTGGGAACTGCTATTTTTTTCGCAGATTCTAGTGTACAACTACAAGTACGTATGATTTGTCTGAAACATTTTTTTCGATGAAATTCAAATTTTTCCGATTTGTCCTACTGCGAACCTATGCATACAATTCTGCAATACGTTGGCAATAAAAAATACCACGTTTTATATAAATACCCGAGATTCGTCGTCGAAAAAGTTTATTCACACAACCAACAGTACAATTTCAAAACCATGTTTAATATTTCATACCATTAAAAAAAGTAAAACGTAGTTATTGTAACAACGTACTAACAACATTAAAGTAATGTCATATACAAATTGATCTGGACCGTAGATACCACTTACTCAAACGACGAAAAGATATTATCCGTATAGGGGACTCTCTGACGAGTTCTTGTTTTTAATTTATTTGTTTTTGCTTTTAACCGAAAAATTGGCGTTTATTTCTTATTTATCAAAACCAAACAGCCATGTTTACTTATAAAATAAGGATAGTATTTATCAAAGACTGCTATGCAATGTATAGTTGCCTTTTGAATTTTTTAGGCAAAGAGTTTCTCGTGAATATAAAAATAAAAAATGCCTAAAATTTTGTTTTCACTGAACTCGTCCGTTCTAAACTAATACCAGCAGCGATGAGGGAAACATGATATAAATCACTTTGAACAATTATTTTGTTTTAGTTCTTAGATAAACGTTGTTGTAGGGTTATAAGCGTCGTATCTAAAGAAAAAGCAAAAAGCCGCCCTGTAGCTCTCAACACAGTAGAATTAATGCGTGTAGCAAGTTCTGGTTTAGGAATGGGACCGCACCATGCAATGCAAATTGCCGAAAAATTATACACTCAAGGATACATAAGTTACCCTAGAACAGAAACCACTCGATATCCAGAAAACTTCGATTTAGTGTAATAAACCAAATTTTCACTTTTTCGTTGGTTAAAATAATTTTGTAGAGGTGTATTACACCAGCAACAAAACAGCCCCGAATGGGGAGACGAAGTGAAGGAAATTCTTTCGAAAGGTGTTAACAGACCCAAGCAGGGTCATGACGCTGGAGATCATCCTCCAATAACACCTATGAAATTAGCTTCAAGAAATGAGCTAGATACAGAATCGTGGAAATTGTACGATTATATTACGCGTCATTTCATAGGAACTCTTGCTCGAGATTGTAAATATTTGAGTACTACAGTGACGGTTATGATAAATGAAGAAACTTTTACTGCTACCGGAAAGACTCTTCTTGATCCAGGATATACAACAGTAATGACCTGGCAGGCATTTGATAAAAATGAAATTGTTCCAAATTTGAAAGAGAATGAGTTGGTGCCGATTAAAGATATGCGTTTGACTGAACATCAAACATGCCCGCCAGATTATTTAACGGAGGCTGAGTTGATTACTCTGATGGAGACTCATGGTATTGGAACAGATGCATCGATTCCTGTGCACATTAACAATATATGTCAAAGGAATTATGTTACCGTTACCTCTGGTAGGAGGTTAAAGCCTACGACGTTAGGAATTGTATTAGTGCATGGATATCAAAAAGTATTTTTTGTTGTATTTTTATTTTACTTTTCTGAATACTATTTTGTAGATTGATGCAGAACTAGTACTACCGACAATGAGATCTGCAGTCGAAGAACAACTCAATCTAATCGCTTTAGGTAAAGCGAATTTCCATGCAGTGCTCAAACACACTGTAGATATATTCAAATTGAAGTTTCAGTATTTTGTGAAAAATATTGATGGAATGGATCAGTTGTTTGAAGTTTCTTTTTCTCCGTTGAGTGCATCAGGGAAAGCGCATTCGAGGTTATCTAAAAGAATGTTTTAACCATTTTAAAATTTATTATTGTGGTTTCTAGATGTGGCAAATGTCGCAGGTATATGAAGTATATTCAGGCGAAACCACCGAGACTGCATTGTCCTCAGTGCGACGAAACCTACAGTTTGCCTCAGAATGGAACGGTAAAGTTATTTAAGGAACTTAAATGTCCATTAGACGATTTCGAATTGTTATCGTGGACTATGGGAAATAAGGGAAAGAGTTTTGTCTTTTGTCCTTATTGTTATAACCATCCACCTTTCAAGTAAGTTTATTTCATTTTAGATGCTTATGTGCTGATGACTTGTTTTGTTTGTTTCTACTGTTTTTATTTAAAATACCGTTGTAAAAAATGTTATTTTCTTTAATCTAATGTTAGATAGAGTAAGTCAGAAATTATATTACTTTGAGGTGGATCAAACGTAATGCTGTTTTAAAAATTGTGATCTTACCAACATGACATTTTGTAAGATACATAAAAAATATCTATCATTGGTTTGCATTTGTGTTAAGACTACTTGTTTCTTGAAAAAAGTGAGAAATAAACAATAGTATTTATTTTGTAGTCAAAGAGAAAAAGAAAAACTTGCGATTTCGTTTTTTTTTTTGTCAAATACGCGAAACAAGTTTAAAAAAGTCTACCTTAATACACAAATTAATAAAGTATTATTTTTTAATTTGAAGAATTCTGTTCTCTCTCGTTAATGTCAGTTTATCAGGCGATTCGTTAATTGGTTCACATCTGTATCTTCAAAATCTACTTTCTGTATTATTGAGTGTCATGTTAAGAGCGATAAAAAAGTTAAAAACCCGGTTTCCACTGTTGTCTCTGAAATTAGGTTTAAATTTTTTCCGTTTAATTTGAAGATCTGAGGTTTATTTATTTCAACTAAGGGTGTGGGGACAAAAAATCTACACAAATTTTAATTCACCGAAAATCGAGTTAGCTTTGAGAAAAATGACGGTTGACCTTATAACATTTTTTTTACAGTTGTTAAAAATTGTTATGCCTAGTTCCTCTTGAAAGTTTCAATATTTTTTGTAATAATGGAACACTTAAATGAAAATGATCGCCGATCTGTGATTGCCGAATTTTATAGAAGGCATATGCATTTAAAAAAGTCATTCACCGTTAATCACTTCTTCCAATGGGGATATCAAAAAGGACAACTTATAGCATTTGCAGGAGAGTAGAGAATGGGAATTCGGTAGAAAGACAAGTAGGAAGCGGAAGACCAGCAAGAAAAATATCCCAGAAGAAGAGAGAAGCCTTAGTCAATCAAAGTCACGGTAAACTTGGTGTTTCACTAAGAAAGATTGGACGGAAATTTAAAATTGACAAAAAGTATGTTAGCAACATATTAAAAGAGAATAATGTCAAACTTGCAACGCGAAAATCAGCCCCCAAATATTCAGAAAAACAAAAGTTGGAACAAAAACGAAAATTAAGGCATCTTTCTGAATCCGCTTTTTCCCCTCAAATGGAACTGAAATAATCATCGATGACGAATCCTACTTCACTTTTGATGGTAGCGATACTGCTAACAATAAACATTTCTATTGCAAGGAAGGAGAAGAAGTAGATGATAAAGTGAAATTCAAACGTCATAAAAAATTTCAGTCCAAGTTGTTGGTCTGGTTGGCCATTTCTTCACGTGGACATTCTACTGCGTTTATTTGCCCATCTGGAAATTCTGTTAATGCAGATATTTATGAAAAACAGTGCATTAGGTCTCGACTTGTCCGCTTTATAAGAGAAAAGCATTCGGATGGCAATTTTGTATTTTGGCCAGACATGGCAACAGCTCATTACGCAGCTAACGTTATTCCTGCATATAATGAGTTAAACATTCCTTTCATCCCTAAGGACAAAAATGTTCCCAACGTACCTCAACTACGCCCAATTGAACGTTTTTGGAGAAACCTAAAGAGGAATGTGTACAAAAGTGGATGGGAAGCCTCGACACATGCAGAATTAAAGAAGCGTATACTGCTGAAAATACGGCAAACAAAAATATCGGCTTTTACAAATTTAATGCGCCGTGTTAAAACAAAAATTCGTAAAGAAAGTAGATATGGTGCAGATTGTGTTCTTTAAAGTTGTTTTTATAAATGTTGTTGGTCACGTTATTAATACCTGCTTTTATAATACAGTTATTCTAGTTTGAAATTTGTGCAGATTTTTTGTCCCCACACCCTTATTTGGGAATGAATTGTAAAAGCAAAATATATAATATTTAGCACATATAATTTTATTTAAAGAGATAACCTAATGATCTGTTATAGAGATATGAGAAAAGGCAATGGTTGTAATTCTTGTTCTCACCCTACGTGCCCGTACAGTTTGAACACGAATGGTGTATGCAGTTGTGTTGAATGCGAGTCAGGTGTTTTGGTTTTGGACCCTTCCTCAGGTCCAAAGTGGAAACTTGGTTGTACAAGGTAAGAAAAAGATATATATATATAGCAAAATCGAATCGACTCACCTTCTTTTTAGATGTGACACCATCGTCTGCTTATTCGATGACGCCCAAAAGATCACCGTTTTGTCAGAAGTATGTGATTGTGGAGCTCAATCAGTTAATGTCGAATATAAACCAGAGAAATCAAAACTCCCGAATTCAGTAACTGAAATGAAAGGATGTGTATTTTGTACTACCGAGTTTGGCAAACTTGTGGATAAGCCTAAAACTGCTGTTAATGTAAGACCTAGACAGTTTAGAGGTGGCAAAGCTCCCAATAGAGGCAGAGGTAGATCTAGAGCGAAACCGAAAGATAAAATGGCCCAGCTTGCGGCCTACTTTGTGTAGATCTCGATTAAAAACGATTAATTAATTTATATCCGTAATTGTTGTAGTTATACATGTATTAAGAATTTACGAATATATAATTTTATTTCTAGGTGTTATTTATCAAGGCTTTGGGTGAAGGTAATGAAAAAGTATAAACATTTGAGTATATTTTTATTAAACACAACAAGTCAAATGCAAATTTAGTTTGTAGTTTGTAATGATTTATAGAGTGAAGTACATGTCACATCAAGGTTTTCGTTGAATACTATTTTAAGTATCAAAATTTTTCCATACAAGACAGGCACAAAGTTTAATACTCTTTAAAGATTTCAAATGAATGGTCAACTGAAAGGGTGAGTTCAACGCTGTTAATCAATCTAAGAATTTCCTTTTATTATTATTATTTGTCTGCTCGTTTTACACTATATTCCCCAAAATGTTTACTTTTCATCTTATAAATACGTCGTAAGATATGAAAAATAGCGTATTAATTAAGAAATTGATTATTTTAAAGCTATTTTACTTCAACTATTTGGTAAACACGTTCATCAACAGTAGTCAAACATTGTTGAGAAACGTTTTCGACCAACTAACGCTAATGAACTCATATTTAAAAAATTTCTGCCGATACTTTATTTCAATACATAAGTCATATGTATGTTTTCATTACATGTTGTAGCATTAAAAAATTATTAGGAGCACTTTATGCATTTAACATAGTATATTTTTATGGACTTGTGGAAAGATGGTACTGATGCGATGGTGTCATCTTAAGACGCGAAATTCGTTGCCCTCCAAAGCATTTCTAAGTAGCTTTTTAAATCAGACATAATTTGGGGCAGTTAGTAGTTTGTTAAACATATTTAGAAATCTTTGGGGGGAACACTTACATTTCGGTTTTAGACTAGTAACATCCTATTCTCCTTTTCTAACATTCTTTATATCAAACCCTAGAACCATGTGGTCAAAAAATATGAAATACCAGTGTTGATCAAAAATATAATTTGTAATTGTAGTTAAATTATCACAATAATAAAAATACAAAATATGTAAAATATATTGTATTTTTGAATCTTTCTGTCCACACAAATCTGAAGTTGCAGCCGTTATTAATTTATTAAATTTAATTGTTGGCAATGGAGGAATTATAACAGAAAAACGACATAGATGTTGGTGGTTTTAAATACATACTTTCAAATGCAAAACCTTGTGCAGTTTGACCATTGGTCATTTTACTTGTATTTATTTTATAAATGGAATAGCTAATTGTGAAAAAATATCAACCATCACGTAGATAGGTGGTTCGCAGAATGTTTTAAGTGTTTTTGTCTGATTTGTCATTCACGGTAAAGGTTATAAATGCTTTTAACAATGGTGATTATCCCGAACGATCTGATGGTGCACATTACGCGTTTGTGGCAAATTATTTAAAAAATACTTCGACACATCCTGACCGAAATCAGCCAGAAGTTTCATCAACTTTCCGTTGGCAGGTGCACTTTTTAAACAGAACACTCAATATATTTTTACATCTTTAAATTTGTAAGTATAGCAACAATTATAAAAGGAATATGGTACAACGGTCTATTCATGTAGTTTTATCGGTTCGCCTTCATTTGTTTAATACCGTTGTTATTTTTCAGTAATAAATAAATAAAAAAAAACATTTAATAAGACCATCAGAAATCATAACAAATACAAAACCAACAAAAAGAAAAATCCATGAAAGCATAACCAACTAAACACCAGAGAAGATGTTCAAAATTCCTGCTTTGTGCATGTAAGCAAACTTGTACTCTTCTGCGGCTATTCTCATTTATTCTAGTGAACATATCTCATTTACTGAGTTCGGTACTCTGTTCGGTGTTTCTTGGATACCTTCAACTAATGATTCTAAATTTTGATCATTTTGAAGTACGGATTATTTCCTATTCTAATGATACAAATGAAGCCTCTTACTCCTGTAATTTCATTTATTGCATTTGGATTCATTCCCAACTCTGCCAATATTCCGACTAATTCTTAATTTTTTAACTGATATGTTACTAAAAAAATAACACAAATATAGCAAGAACTGCTTGTTAAAAAATCTCAGTTCAGTGCAGTTGCCACTTTTTGCTATAAAGAATAAAATATGTTATGTATTCTATTTGGAGAGACTATAACTTTTTGCGCATGATGGTAAACATTTTTAGATCCAAGAACCCTGTATCAAGAAGTATTAAAATACTTTCTTCAGTGACCAACCAAAACTAGTAATCTTCCACCATCAGATCGTTGGAAGACTTGGTTTTTGTGTCTAACACCACTAATTGTGAATGATGGCATTTGCATTTAGATCATAGAATTAGAAAGGGTAGAATGATCGCAAACACTACTTGATCCCAAAGAAAGTTGTATCTCCCTGTCACATTGTCTTTTTACCGGCAAATTGGCTACGGCTATTTCTGCAGCATCGGTTGTACACACTCTAAACTGGATGTTACTTACTAAAAGGATAGAAAATATAGCTTTCCTTGGAGTAAAATCTTTTTTCTGTGTCTTGTTGGAATTTATCATTCTACCCCCTGAAATTCTATGATTTACATAGTTGAAGAGACACGTAATTCATCATATTACTGCAAACCAATTATTATTATTTTTTTTTTAATATTATCGTAACATTGTTTATTGTCACGTAAATCTACCGAATTTTACATTGTCGCTAGTACCTCATCTAAAAGTATTTTTGCACTTTTTTGTTTTGTGTTCCTGTGACGTGCGTATCAAAAAAATTTTGTGTAAGGTACTAACTTATCAAATATTTCAATGATAAACAGCGACTAGTAATATTTTTCAAATAAGCTTGACAGATATTTATTTAATTATATGTAATTAATTATGCGTTCTTGAAGTTTCTCCATGGGTTCGAGACATCATTATTTTTTTCATAATAAGAATAAGATATAATTTTTGAGTAAAGTTTTTGATGGTAAGGGTTGAAATTTTTGATATTTTTACATTGCCTAACTAAACGTAATCAACGATTAAACGAGATTTCACTAAAAAAATGTAATGCAAGTTTAAAATATGAAATCAGAGCCAATAATCAGTTTACAAACAAGAGTCAAATTTGAAAGCACAGAAAATTTAGCTAACATTTGCAGTTTTTGGAAAAATATGATTAGTATTTAAGTTATCGAATTTTAAACTTACTTATTCCTTGATAAGTTTCTGCATATGTTCACAAAACAAAGTGTGCCTCATATGTGTGATAAAACCAAACGTTTACATGTAAAAAAATGTTTAAGCTTCTATTATCTTTTTCATGTTTCAGTTTTCATTATATTGAAATTTTCGATATTAAGGCAGATATTCAAAAAAGAATGATGCTCAAGTCTAGACTATAACAAACCTCAAGACATTTGGTGGAAATAAACTAAAAACTTTTGCGAAAAGCAAGAATGAGATGAGCAAGAGTAAGGTGTAAATAACATTGTGGCTAGTTTTGCAGTTTAGTTTGTTCAAAAGATCGTTAAACTTTAAATAGACAAAAACGACGTGTGATAGGTTTACTGTACGTTTTTCTGTCATTATTCATCCTATTCTTGTAAACGGGAAGTTACGCGTTAAAAGTAGTTACAATAGAAAATATGAAATAAAAAATGTTGCATTAGTGAAACTTAAATATTAGATAATCAATTCGAAATGATCCTTCATCAATAAATTACACATATTATTTTAATTGTATAAAAAATATAAGAGCTAATTTTTGCTATATTTTACATAAACACACAAAGTATGACTAGGTCAGTTTTGAGCTTGAAAGATTATAACATCCGAAAAAAGAATGTGATCATTCGGCAATCTAGACAATCCTGATAACTGTAATAGAGTTCTATTCATTTCTAACAAGGTAGGCGTCTTAGCATTTAGTACGTAGGTAGGCATATGAAAAACTCTATACAGTCGAAGGTTAAGGCCTACGTTTCAAAATCTAATAGTCCAGTCAGGATAAACTTAAGTGATGATTTAAATTTCAAACATGTTCTGTGCATGATCGAGAAGTGGAAATGAGCCTAACCTTCGCTTAAGATGAGTGGCCTGCAACTATCTGAATGCCTATAGTAAAGAGAACATTTATGTACATTGTGCTTTGACGTAAATTCTTTTCTATTGCAACACGTCAGATAGTCCATACTTGCACTTTCTCGGCAACTATACACCAGCTGGCGTGGTCGTAATAAGACGATATAATGTGGAGGTTTTCTACATATTTTTCTATCAATTGGTCCAATTCACCCTCTCTAAACACATGATAATATCTGTGATAAGTTATTTCGCCGCCGATATTGTCGGAAGGCAACGAATCCTGTGACGTATCGCTTAAGAGTGTTGCTTTTTCGCGTTTCTTCGACGAATCACTGTCGAGGCTGACGGTGGAATTCGACAACCGTTCCTCAGGTTTTGATTTGATGGTTTTCCATTCTGGACAAGACGCCAATGACGCGGTACTTCCTCCGTCGCTGTACCTGCTGATGGAGTTCGTGTCTTTGTGGCTCTCGAGCCCATCGGCTGATTCTACCGATTGACCGAAGTTGATAGACGTTGCCACACTAGATATCATGGAATTGGTGCTACTCCCTGAAAATTAAAATGATTTATTTATTCACAGAACTGTCGACTGCGATACGACCTAATATTCTTGTATACTTAATTTTTTAAAGGAGCGGAAAAATACGCAACCCAAAAAATATCCGATAATTAACGCACCGATTTCACATTCATGAAAAGCAGCAAGTGCGAGATGTTTTTTTGTGGAAAAAATAAATAAAAGCAAAATTATTTTTAATTTGTGTAGGATGTTATATTGTATCATTTTCCGCTCCTTTAAAAATGAACTATAACAGAACACAACAGCATCGGGTGCAGAACATGTACAGTCTGGGACACGGAATTTCAAACGACCTGTCAATCATAATGACAATAAGGTATAAGACTACAACGTTTTTAAATGTCAGAAAGTTGGTTGTCGTTTGAAATTCCGTGTCCCTGACTGTATATATTTAAATAATTAAAAAGGTGAGGTACGTTTAAAATTAATTAAACACTAATTATTATGGTTATTATCATACAATAAATTAAATTGAAAAATGATATTTAGAAGTCATTTCATAATCAGTATTAGTTGGAAGTGCCATTTCTTTTTAAAATAACTATACTGTCATCGCAGGTATTTGACACTTTAGTTGATAGATATTTGACTGTAACTGTGAAAGTAAACAAGGATCACATTGGCCCTGCCAACATCATATTGTAAAAATAAATTTCATGGCCTACCAAAGAACCTTTTTTTCGGTCATGTGATTTATTTCCCACATTTAGCAATTTACCAGTTTTTTTTTGTAATATGTATATCATTTAAAATACATTGTTATGTTTTGAAATATATTTTAGATTTCACCACTGGTCATTTATGATAGATTTCTGTCTCAAATATGTGAGACTCTATTTCTATCAGAGTAAATAGTAAAAATGGCATCAAAAAAGTTCTTGGGGGTTCAAGAATACCTTTATATTAACACAAAAGTTTAATTGATAAAATTATTACAAACTTTCGTGGAAAAAATTGCTGCAAAACTTAATTTTAGGGAAACCGTAAAATTCAGAAAAATAAAAACCAATAAGTATTTACAAATCTGCAGATATATCCGTTATTAGGTTTCCGTCTTGGTACATTTTTTGATACCACCTCAATCGAAAGTTGAGTGAAATAAAGCACTCATACTTTATTTTATAATTATAATATTATTTCAAAAGCAGTTATTAAAATAAACATTTAAGTGTTGTATATCATTGTAATAACAATTTAAAGTTCTATCAAATCCGTTAAAAATATACGATATAATTAAAAAATATATGTTTGCGTCGCGACGCCGACACCATACATATATGCGTCTTGTTTGTAGTGTACTAAATTACGCATAAATTGCAATATGTCTATCCGTTCTTAATATATAAGGTCGCGAAGTTTTAACTGAGACACCGTGCATATTATTATCCTTGCTAATTGTTCAATCCTAAAAATCAAAACTCATCCACTCACCATCATATAAAATTAAAATAATAAAAACAAACTTAGGCCTTCAATCTTAAAAATTAAAACATTTATTATTTTTAGTCTTACAAAGTCTTCCTTTTCTAAAAAATTAAACAACAAATAAACTTAAATCTTCTTCAACATTAAAATCAAAATCCAAACTCAACTAAACCACGTTTTTCATCTGATGAATGTTGTGTAAAACGAAGAATGTCGTTTGATTAAGACGGGACACAGTTTTATTTGGTTTTCATACAGTTAACGTCACAAAAAAACATTAAAATAAAAGTTACCAAAAACAATCATCAAAAAATTACATTTTTCACCAAAGGACCAACTCCCTGCTTTTATGATTTCTCGACCTTTCGTTACACCTACAGTATGAAGAAAAAAGTCTCCCGCTTCCGTTTCTCTGTCTGTCTATCTGTCTACCGTCTGTCCGAATTTTTTAGACAGATTATTTCCGAAACTACTGGATCGATGATTTGGCTAATCATCCCCACCAACAGTTTAATGACATTACCTCCAAAATATACAATAGTAAATTTGTTTTTATTTTTTTTTTTAATAAGATACTCCTGCGCTTGTGGTGTATGAATCCGTGTTGAGTTTTCACATTAGACATTCAGATATTTGGAAGAAAATCAAAATTGAATAACATTTTGCAACTTAACTTTTAAAATGCTAAACCGAATGCTCTAAAATCGTGTAAACGTTTTAAGGTTATAGTAATCATGGTAAATCGTTAATCAAAATATATTCTGAAATATTTCTGCAAAATAGTATGACTTAATACTTGTGATGTGTCAATGCACTAGTTTTTAGAATTACTTGCACAGGGTGACTCAAAAAAAATAATGCATGAGGCAATTTATTTTATTGATTACATAGAGAATGAACTCACCGAAAATTTGGGAAAACAGCACTGTTATTATTAGTGTTAACACTGCATCTATTCAAATCGATATACGTGTCCTTGCAAAAATGCTAGACATCATCACAAAATTTTCTAATGAAAAAACTCACTTGGAACCAACGCATAGCATGTCTTTTTACGTTGACTGTAACATTACATACATATCTTTATTTTAACTTATAAGGGTTATCATAAAAATAAAATTCTCAAAATCAAATTTTATAATTTTTCGAAAAAACTAGAAGTTGTGTCGAAATAACCTTCGACCAATTTTTTGGATACGGAATAAAAGTTACATTCAGAAATTATTAATATCAAGGGTTTTTGGTCCAAAGAAGTTTTTAAAAATATAGTATAATTTGCCAAAGTGTTTATAATTACTAATCACTAATTGTAGCCCTGAAGAACTCTACCCTACTATACTATTGAAGGGTAGAGTCCATACCTCCGATTTATTAAAAATATTAAATGATAAGTATTAATACACAAGTGACACTTACATACTCCCAACATAAAAACAAGGAGTTCTTAAAAAATCTGAAATTTTTAGACATCATAGTATTTCCGTAAGAAGTCATTTTTGGATAAATGGTACCCTAAATAGTACAACCCGCATTAGTTAGAATAAGTTCATACCCAACATCCCCAAAAAATTAATCTGTTACAATTATTCGCAAATGAATATTTAAATGATCAGTTCTATTTTCTATTTGAATTTATTAAGGAACGAAATTGTGTCAGTTATTGCCGTTCTCTTTCCAAACAAAATTGATCAAAAGATCAATAAGGCGACCTAAAAATAGTTGGTGAAGATGAAGGTGAAGCTCCATTACATCTGTAGTTATTTAGCTGAAATACCGAGTGACTATTAATGATTGTGATTTGTTTGTTAGGTTGGTAACATATTGAAAATTTTGTAATAGCATACCTGATTGTCAAAATGAAAGTTAGGACCACAGTTGTAGAATATAGTTTTTGCCAAAATTAAAAAAACCACCACTTGTTGAATTCAGTTGGTAACAAAAAAAAAAAAACTCCAGTGGCGATTTTCATATTATACCGTTTAAACTTCAACTAACGTAAATTTGTTATCACGAAACACGCAGGTAAAGGGTGATCAAAAAGTTTTCACATTAGAGTTGCCCATGGGAATATTTGTCATGTTTTTGATTAAACTGTAAAGTCATGCATAACCTTTACATTTTGAAACGTTAACACCCTTCCAAAATGTTGAATTGAGTATAAATTAGTTACAACCTATTTATCTTTGTTTTCCCCCCAAATCAAACTTCAGATTTAATATTACCATGTTGTCAATGATATTTTCAAGGTAGAATGCAGTGATGGTGGTTTTTTAATTTTGGTAAATACTATAGATAGGGTTGTATACTTGTGGCTTGGCAACGCTTCATGTCTTCATTGAAAGCGATACTTTTTTTCACTCATTTGCTGCATTGCAAATTCATAAAAAAAGTATCGCTTTTAAAACAAAAAACAAATAACTATTTTTGACTGTTTAAGTTTTCATTACATAATCAAAAAAACCGCAACAACTTATTTATTGCTGTTTATATTAAAACTACAATTACTACAATTACTACAACTTTGAAAATTAATCATGCCTATATTATCAATGGTGTTAGTCCAATTGGTAATGTTATATGTGACAGATACATTAAACATTCTCTGGCCAAACGTAATACTTCTTGAGGAGTCAGCTTCTTTTCTCCAGTACTTATCATCTTTTTAGTGGTACTGTTAACTGTACTGGTGTGGTAATAGGTTCGTCTAGGCATAATATTTTCTTTTCTTCAATATATCCCTTGGTTACACAGTTGCTTTTCCAGCCCCCGTGTCTCTTGAATGAAGTTATATGTCACCACAGCGTCCACCAAGATTGTTGCGGAAGTCCTTCGTAGCAGTGCCCGGTGTATTCGTTAGCATTTGGAAGCTTTAAATATTTCGCTATTTCTTCTGCGGTACTACGAATTTTGTGGATGCGAACCACACTTATGTAAATATTTTTGACTATAATAGTTTACGAAAAAACGACATTTATAAAAATTTTTTTGGCGAAGAGCTGCGTATTTTCTATAAATACGTAAATAAAGTTTCTCCCAAAACAGTAAACGCTCTGGTTTTGTTTGTTTTTTTATTAGAAATTTTCACCAATACGGCAGTTGAGAGATTTTTGCGATATAATCAACCTTTAAATGTATCAATTTATCGACATGCGCCCCTACATTATAATAACCTACAAATAAACATTTTCGTACCTAATTTTTAGTATTTCTCAGAATTATTTACTTTTATCATGAAGTATTTATCGTCAGGAGCCTCGTTCAAAAATTGGTCAATCTATTCTTTACTGATTTTTTGGGTGTATATTGTATAAGATTCACTTTATCTTTTCAGATATGCCCGTAACTTCGGTTACTTCGATATGTCGACGTCATTTTTCAACTGGAGTGTTGCTCTCACCTTTGACTATTGGCTCCATAAAGTCGGGGCTTTTATTTTAGATACTAATCCCACCAAATAAGCTAACAAAGTCTTCTCTGCAAAAGATGTAGTATTTTTTTCCTTACACCAGTCCGGGAATCGTTCATATGATGCTTTATAATTTGTCTGGATTTAGACGATACTCGATTTTCTGTTGCCTGCTTCGCACTTTCCTCCAAATCAAGAAGAACTTCCATTATCGACCTTGCACTTGCACGATTTTACTTTGAAACCCTTCGAAACCAGTAGTTTTCGCAATAAATAAGCGTCATTAATGACAATACATAGCCAACTATGTTAATAGTTTAATTTGTGTTTACTCATTGCCGGTGGCGGCAGTACACCACCACCGAATTTTCTACATTGCGTTTGGAGAAAAAGTAGCATTTATTTGTTATTTGGCCGAAAAGTACTTACCACTTTTCTTCTGAGTTTAAAATATTTTATTGTGTGATACTAGGTACATGTTTCGGTACATAGTAACCTCTTTCAGGTAAAAACGGAGTTTTGGATAGTGATAACATTCTATATATATTATATATGCTTGGGCTTCATGAGGGTGTGTTTTTACAATACAGTTGTAAATTTAGCAAAGGAGACTTATTTATATCTGTCTATTCGTTTAGCAAAAATTTTTGTTTATTATACAGTGTAATCAAGTAAAATTTGGTTTTTTAAGTTGTCTCTAAAAAATATTTGTCAAAATTTGAAGTTGAAATTTTGTAGTTTCGCATAGCTGTTTTTCGCTAGTATTTTAAAAGTCTATCTCGCCATTGCATTAGAAGAACTTAATTTTGTACTACACTTATGAACATGCCAATATCCTTATAAACTTAGGAGTGTTTTTTGTTACATTTCAAGTTAAGACGTTTTATCAGAAATTTCTTAAGTAAATCCTATAACGTAAACCGACCTTAAGTGTCTTTTCAAGATTTAAAACGTTTACAGCTCACCATGTTGAGTTTATTAAAAGAAAACACAAAACGTATCGGTAACACGACACGGTTTTCTAGCCTGGTCCCCCGTGCGCATAACCGACAGACCCATGGTAAACGGTGTTTGCGGTGTTTGATTTTGTCCCAAAACCGTACCATTGGAAGCATGCAACATGCTTCCTTCGTTCTTATTTCAGCCTTTCGGTTGTTGCGATGTCAAATTTGGTATCTAAGTTTCACCAGATTTGATATGTTTACTTGCAGGCCAATTTGCTCTCAAACACATTTCAATTCATTTAAAATTTCGTGCTGGACCTATAAGTTTACAGCTAATCTAGAGTTTTTACCAGACACTCCATAGGTTAATATATATCATGGAGGTAGAATGAGAGGAGGGAACAGGTTTGCTCGAAAGCGTCTACCGGGGTACTGGGCATAAAACACAAAAATAATTTAATACGATAGAATATAAAAGCGGTAACAGTAAAAGTTACTAGAGTTTTTTTGTTGCCATAAATATGTTTGTTTTATACCATAATTAGCTTTTCACTTGCGGCTTCGCTTGCGTAGACGATTCGTTGTGTTGAGGAGCATTAATGCAAAGTTTCAACCAAAAATTTATAATAGAAATATTTTTTCCATACAACTTCACCAGCATGTTTCACCTCCTTAGAGACTGAATCTCTGAAAATGCCAGACGTCTGGAAAATGGCGGATTAACTCTCCACTACGTTCTTAACAATCAACTGGTGAGTCTGGGAAAAATAGTAAAAAAAATCCTTCTCACATTTTGGTGGAGTTACAATGATTTTAAAATTGGTTCTTTTGCTACGTTTAACAGCTAAACAACACATTTATTATCACAATAACTAGTAATAAAACTTTTAGTTAATATTTCTCTCGCCTATGACGATATTTAATTACCATTTCAGTTAGAACGTACCTTATAAAGATATTGTTGTATTGTTTTTGTAATAATTTGATAAAATTCCATTTGACAACAATGTTTACCTCAGATAAAGCGAAGGTACAAATCAGCAGAAATCGAGTAAGCATTTCAAAATAGTTAATGTTAATGAGGATGCTGATGTGTACCTGGTTTTTGACGAATGCGAAATGAATGCCACTGTTGCCGTACGACTTTATATAAGTATCATCGGGTAAGAAGGCAACCCACAGTAAATATAATTAGGCAGCTTGCTTCTTCTTCCCAGTTTCATGATCGAGGTCGGTCTAGGACCAGACATATTTCAAAATTTAGAGGAGGATGTCTTACATTGTGTGCCTGATGATCGGAATATTGGTAGAATTGGGAGTGTATGTACCTTAGGTACGATTTACCTCTAAAATTTTGTGGACTAATGACTTACTTTTACAAAAAATGGTCAACATTTGGAAACATTACGAGCTTACTTACATGCACTAGGCATGCATTTTAAACAATTTCTCGGGTGTTTAGTTGGTTATGCTTTAATGATTTTTTTTTGTTGGTTTTGTTTTTGTTTATAATTTATAAGTGTCTGATTACATTTTTTCTTGGTTCATTTATTAATAAAAAATAACAGTTTGTTTTATTAATAATAACGCACAACGATTAATGACTACTGGTTGTTACGGTTATTGTCCTAAAAAAAATAAAAGGTGGATTTCAGTCACCATCATTACTAAGAAATCAAAAAGTAAGACGACGTTATTCACGCATTAGGAGCCTGCAATGTTGGCAATTTTACTGTTATAAAATTACGTTTTTTCGTAATCTACATCTTAAAGATTTTTTTTTACTATTTCTTTGAAATTCCCGAAACCCCCATATTTAACGTACTGAAGAGTTAATGCGCCATTTTGCAGACACCCGGTATGTATAAATACAATGCATTTTTTTTTAGTGGCCATAGAGATTCCCATGTTAAATTTTAGACCCCATGTTAACTTTTGTTAAGATGAAAACCCGTAAGTGACTTTTGCGGTGAAAGTAGCCTTATGGTTCTACTTTCCATTACCACTTTTTGCAGTAAATTGTTAATTTGTGCTTTAAAAATTAAACATTATTTTGGTTAAAAAGTTTAGATAGATCATAGAAAGTTTTGATTTATAATTTTGACGTGTCATTTTTGGCAGCATAATTTTAATTTAATCATTAAACATCTTTATTGCAGTTTGTAGAAAAGAAGTAGCGTTGTTGATGTCCATGTTCGAGACGAACTTTGACATAAAATTTTTGAATTGTGCTCTTGCCATGTATGGGACGATGCGGAAATGCTACAGCAAAATTTTGGCGCAGTCTCTTGTCGATAAGCCTTTATTGTATCCAGTAACAATTTCCACATTTTCTGTAATTGTGTACTGCGGCGTGTTGACGAATTTCGGCAGTGAAAGTCAGTAATCGAACGAGTAATTAGATTTTAGAAACGTCAACAATATTACCGAAAAAAATACTCAAATATCCTTTAATTTAAAGCATAACCTTTAATAAAATCAACAAAATAACATCCAGTAAAAATTTCAACACTTTTAAAAAAGATGCACTGTATATAGTATACGAAATATTACAACAATCGGTTAGATAACTTCGACCATTATCTGTTTAATAAAAATTGACACAGACGACAGACAAACAGACGGACGGATGGAAATGAGAGAGATTTTTTCGTATTTAGAGGTCATGAAACATCGAGAAAACATGAAAGTAGCTAGTCGTCCTATAAACCCTTTACAATACATATGTACTTCCCTGTATTACGTTCTAGAAGTAAAAATTATGTAATTAGAGTACAATTAATAATACATCATTAGGTATTTCATTAAGAGTAGATTATGAATTCATTTGAAAAAATGCATAAACTATGTATATGGTGTGTTGTACTCACCTTTATCTGAATCGCAGGAATCGGTAGAAGTACCCATCTTAATGGAAGTTTTGCTAACGGACAATTTACAAGTGGAAGCGAGGTCGTTGTTTTCACTTAACGAATCATTCGTATGTGATCTTTTAAAAACGTCATTTTTTGCACTATGATAATCACTAACTGGCACTTTCTTTGGATCAGTTTGCTTCGTCAGTTCTTTCGTTTTGGTCCTATCGTAACATCTGCACTCGATTTCTTTACACTTTTTACATGGTCTGTTAAATAAACTGTCACTCGCACTTAACTTAGCTAAATACTCATTCTGTTTTTGAATTTCAGCACTTAATTTGGACAAATCATCGAGTTCTTCGCTTAATCGATGAATATACGGATCGTCGATGTTATCGATCGATGTAGATAACGTTAGCGTCCTTTCTTTACTTTTCTCTTGATACTGATCGATCTCTTGGAGGAGTTTTTCACTTAATCTATCGGCAAAATCGGTTAGATGACGATGACATTCCTCATCCCAAGAAGGGCCAGTGTCTTCACTCAGCAGTGGAGTAGTGTCCGTAGAATAGCGTCGTTGTATTATCGATAACACATCGCTCGTGTGCAGTTTTCGTTTACTTCTTGGACTGGATTTGATTACCTTTTCGACAGCTTCATCTAAGGTACTGGCTACGTCTGCTGCCGCTTCTAGCAGACTCATCGTTTTATTCTCTTTTTTCGGCGGAGGAAATTTAAATTTGGTTCTAGCAGCATACTTTGTTTCGTCCGTTCTCACGTTAATAACACTCTCGATTGAATCGGGTGAGGATACGCAACTGGAATCGCTGTCTTTATCGTCGGTTTCGGGATTGAAAAGTTCTAGCGATAATAGTTTAGGCAAAGGCTTAGCGACAGCCTCCACTTTTCCATTGGCTACTGAAGAATGTCTGACTATTGGATAGTTTTTCGTCGATCGTGCTCCGAATCCGGGCTTCTGGGAAAGTAGTTCCTTAATTTTTTTCAGTCTCTCGTTTCTCGTTTCAGATATTTCTACTGGCGATTTTTCCGGACTAACGTTGTTGGTGTTAACAACAGGGGAATTTAAACTAGTTCTTCTAAATTTTGGGATTTGAGGTACCGAATACTTTTGTGCAAGACTTTTACTACTTGGTTGTGTTGTACTTTCCGTGGTTGAATGGTCCCTATCTGATTTGTCTGATAAGATATCAGCGGTCGTTGGTTTAGGAGAGCTCAGTTGTTTCGTCAGAGGGTATATCGTCAACGGCATCTGCTTAATTCTAGGGCTAGTAGGACAAGAGGATTGTTTAATCCTGGGTGAATTAGGGACCGAGGAGTTTTTTAGCCTAGGTGAAATGGGACCTGGTGATAGCGGCGTCGGCGACATAGGATCAGATTTCGGAACGAATATAACCGAAGCGAACGAGTCCTCGGAATCTACACTAGTATCACTTTGCAAACTACTGTCTTTAGAAGAATCCGAACCATCTTCTTTCGAGTGTCGTCGTTCAGTAGTACCATCTTTCTTTTCTTCAGTCACCACGGATTTCTTCAAAGGGTCGATAGTATCGTTTTCGGGGATCGTCGGCGAAATTAGATCGGAACTTTTCCAGTTCTGGAACATTCTCACGAAACCGTTTTTCAAAGAAGTCCCAGTAACCTTCTCTATCGTTGCGGAATTCTTAATCTTATTCGTAAAACCCGTTTTGATTAATTGGAAGCGCTTTGAAGTAGAAACTGAAAAGAAGGAGTCTTTGAAAGAGTCGAAAGTGTGGTGTCGTTGATAAATTAAATCCTCATTCAAAGATGCTTGTTTCTGAATATTTTGCCGCACCCGTTCTTTCTCCTTCAACCGATCCGTCGACATTAGCTCTTCATTCAACGATCTCTGTTTGAACACCCCTCTTTGGTACCTCGTATTGAACACCTTAAAATCCGGCAGATTGTTAATTAGCGTCTTCATGTCGGTCGGCTGATCCAGAGCCTCCTCGTCGTCTTCCTCGCAAATCGATTTTTTCTGCTTAACTAACTTAGGTTTGGCTAAAGTGGCTTTCGGTTTAATTTCCGGCAACACATTGATTTCCGGCACACTCGGAGTGCTAGATTGCGACCTCACAATGTTATTATTTTCGGCAGTCTTAATGTTCGTCATGCTTTTTGATTTCAAGTTGCTGGAAATATCGTTAACTAGCTGAGACGATGGAAACGTTTGGCGCCTCTGCGGCAGGTCCTCTTCGTCGACCCTTCGCAGTTCGATGGGAATATCTTGGATGTTCTCAGTGCAGTCGCAACATTCACAGCCGTCGTGATCGTAGCGTTGTTGTGACGGCTCTTTAGCACAAGTACTCCAGCTTTCCAGGAACCAAGGTCTGTGCACCCCGACTCTTCTCCCTCCTGCTAATTTCTGGATGGCTCTCCGCACAAAACTATAGCAAGTTTCATTTGGACTCGATAAACTTGAACTACTTGGAGAAGAGTTGCGGCCAGGATCTATTGAGCGTCCTTTGTGGCGGTTTTTCCCTCGCTTTTTCACTATGCCTTTGGATCTGCAAACATGAAATAGGACACAGTAAAAAAGAGAGTTGTTTGAAGATGCGGTTCTGTTTTTTACAAGGAGGTTTAATATATTTCGCGATTTCTACACACAACCGATGCTTGAGATATTTGTTTCTTTTCCACTATTTAAGAGTTCATTGTCAAAATACCTAATTTTTATAGCGACATACACACAGGTCTGTGTTTATACTGAGAAAAATTCATTGTAAAACAACTAGAATAGGAAACATAGTCTGAACCGTAATACAAAAAATAAAAAGTATGGCCTAATGAATGAAATTTATTTAATATACGGCCTGCTTTGGAATTGAATGCAAAAACTTTAACTGGTAGTAGGACTCATCAATATATGAAACTTTGCTATATAACATTTTTTTAAACATCCATTTTTTTGGCCTTTCCCCCCTTCGTTTTGACGAGCCGACAGTGCCGGCGAGAAGTTTGAATATTTCTTTTATGCGAGAAGCAGCAGCCTAGGCCGGCCGACTGCAGGAATAAACGTCGAATAACGTCATATCTGCTATCGCTTTCTGTTAGCAGAATTAAAAAGAAATAGCTGTAAAAACATACACACTGATTTAACACACCTGCAGCAGTGATTGGCCATATGTCTGGTAAAATCGACTGGCCTTCTGGCAGTCAGTTCTAGGTATATCGAATTGGTATAGCGTTATCACCTTCTACTTGCATAAGTTAAAATGCAACAGCGACGAAGCCGTACAGTATTCTCTTTCATCGTTGCATTTTTCCCTCGCTACTTCCCCACCACCTGCATCGGTTGGCTGTTGTCTGTATTGTGAATTTCTGTAGTCTCTACGTGGGTGAAATTAGCAGTTGGTTTAGGTTAGTTTCTAATTTCAGTAACGATGACAACAGTAAGAGAATTATAAGTGAGTGATTTAAATCTTGATATTGCCACACATCTATCATCTATTAAACAATAACTTTCGGCTTTTAACGTACGATGAGAAAATCTTTGTAAAAGAAATGGGCCGTCCGAGCGAGTCAAGAAACAAACTATTTTGTTAGCTAACCCAACTAAAATAGTCACGAGCCGCTACTGCGAGCCGGTCAGTGTATCAAAATAAATTGACTTTCGTTGACGCTGATAGGTTTTTTTGGCTAACTATTTAGCGCAAGTTTTTGTCGTAAAAACAACTGAATGCGTTGTAATTTGATTACAAACGTGCAGTTGACAGTGAATTCTCCCAGTGCTTAGCTATTTCTCCCTGTGCAAAAGGCGGTACCATGGTTTATACCAACCATAGAGGTAGGATGGCAGAAGAGAGCATACTTCATTTTACCATTGTTAAAGAAACGCCGGCAAAAGAGCTCCACGCAAGTACCATTTATGACCATTTCCGTAATCCGTACTACTTTCGAAGCGGTCGAGTATCAACAGAGGATCAGAGGCGGTGCATTTTGGTTACAAATGGGTTCACAGGTAGCAAATAGTAGAAGAATTTGACCCTTACCCATTCATGATCCTTACCATTAAAATTCGTTGCCATTAAGTTGTTACATGTCAATTTTTGTCTAGCCGCTCGTGAAGCGCTTTCGAGCACGCCATTGAAAGAACCAGTTTTTCGGGGAGCTGGAAGAGCTATAGCAGGCGTTCTTTCAAACTATCTTCCCTCCTCTCATTCTACCACCATGATACTAACGTACTCATGTACGGTGACGCTTTGGACAACGCCCAGGAGGCGAGATTCTGCACAGCGTCCGCTTTCTAAACCGGTGCCGTCCAGCTAGACACGTTTAGTACAACAGTTTAACACCTACGTGATTTCGGGAAATTTCGGATCACCACACAAGTCTGGAGCCAGAACCCGGAATTTTGAATGTTGCATTTTGTTTGGGTATTTCGACCTTTATTATATGAGGGACCCTTTACGAACAAGGATTGCACCCATACCACAATCAATAACGAGATTAAAAGGTACTTCGACAGTTACACGTTGGCCTTATAATATAAAAACGGGTTAGCTCATTTTATAAAATTCTGGGAATACGGTTTTGTTGTTACTGGGGTTACACTGTACCTATTTAAAATGATATATTTATTCCTACCACAAGTCATTCATCACAAAATTTTATAAAGGCAACCTCACTTGAAACACACGCATAGCATGCTCCTTTATCTGTATTTTAACAATCCACAACTATCTTTATTTTAGCTTATAGGAATAGAATCAAATTTTATAATTTATCTAAGAAATTGAGTTCCTTTGAGTGTACTTTAGAGGCGAGGAAGTTTGGTCTCAAATAATTTAGATGATTTTTAATTTAATGAATAAAATAAACTGATGCATTATTGTTTTTAGTCCACCTAAACAATTCTATAAAATAGGACTGCACTGGTAACCCTACGGCTCACCGCCCCTTTTTAAAGAGAAAATTACTTTACGCCTCCCCCCCCTTCCCCCATTCATACTTCCAGTGTACAAAAAAAAAGGAAATACTATTGCTAAAAAAAAAACTTAACAAAATAGTTATTACAAATATATAATTTTAATGTAAAAGTTCTGATTCTAATGTGTAGAATGGCTTTGCTGCCAGCCTACCAATTTATTAACACTAGGGTCAATTTTTGTAAATCACCGCGATTAGTTATTTGTAATCGATTTCTTTTTTTTTAATTAACAAATGTGAAACCACATTAAACTCGCATTCTACTAAATATGACGAATAAGCAAAACTGTTGGTAGCCGTTTTTAAATTTTATTACGTTAATATACCGAAATTAGTCAGATGACCACCAGTTTGAAAGTTTAAACTGAAAATTCAACGATCAAAGACAAACTTTCAGAAATCCGTGGCTGCAGATGTATTGTTGTAATCACTAAAACATAAAGGTTGACGGCCTTTTAAGAGATGGCGCGAAATTTTTAAAATACCAAAAATTTTTGCCACATTACTAACTTAAGGTTTAAGGGATATGAATCGATTCGCCTTCCACCGTACCATTGGCAGTACAATCCTACAGGGCTGGCATGGGTGCAGTGCAGAGCCTTTTATAATAACCGCATAGGATCACAAGATAGTTCGGAATTTATGGCCATATTACCGTGCATTTCAAGCGTTTGGATAAAAAATGTTTTTCACTGTGAAAAACTAATTCACGAGGACTCGGAGAAGTTCACCTGTGTACCATATTCCACCCGTGGTCATAAATTTAGCGGAATCAGATTCGGATGACTTAGAATTAAGTTTGTAGACGAATTAGATTAACTTATTAAGACTGACATTACTGACATTTTATGGAGAATTAAGTGCCGAATCATAATATTTTGCAAATTTTAAATGGGATTTATCCAGCAAACTTTTGAGATTACGCCGTCAAGTATAGGTAAAGAGATGAATTTTGTTTAGCGATTTACCATATTTACTGTTAACTTTACTAAGCTGTTGCTGTTTGCAAAATTTTAGGTCTATCATTTATTTTGTAAGACGAATTTTCAAATTTGTGTGCACAATTTTTTTTCGGAGGTACGTGTCTAATAAAATCAGTGTACAAGCCTTAAATCGTTGAAAATTAATTAAATTCATCAAACAGATAGTACTATGTTCGGGAAAGTAAAATGCCATTTTTACGCTAGCTTCTTGTTTGGAAAACACATTGAAGCTAAAAGAATTTTTTTTCTTAATCTACTTCATCTAAGAAGTTAGTACTCCATGAAATAAGACAATCCTTGCTTTTGCTATCATACAACACCTTTAATACTTTCATTTTATATTTAAAATGCTATTGTTATTTATTAATATTATTTGTGTTTTACTTTTGACAGTTCTTCCACTTTCGGTTGCTTTATACTTTAGTAACTGTTCCCTGCTTTATACATGATGATTCAAAAATGGCGCACTACCTCTATGACATGTTGTTAAGGACTCTTTAGTAACCAAAGAAAAAATAATTTAAAAAAATCCTTCGGCCCAAATGTAGAAGATTTGAAAGTTTAATTTTCTTATAGATAGTTGACCATATTTTAATTTAGTACTTAGTGTTGGGTAATGAAATCTATAGGACTTTCATTATTCAGAATAAAAATCATTTTTTTATCCATTGCAATCTATATAAATGCTATGTGCCATATTATAATTATGTGTAAATTGAAGTCTATCGATGTTTATATGGCCAAGTTTATATATATATATATATATCATGAATAAGTGTTAAAAAATGTACTTTATTTTACTTAGTTTTGTAACCTAGATTCCTACGTGAATGATCTACCCACTCATTCTACAATATGTAATTAGAAATTTTCAATAAACTGCTTTCAAATTTAAAGCACCCGATCACCCACTCAACCCAGGAATAGCTGTCAAGAGAATTACTCAGATTCTTAATCTCAAGAAGTAATTACTCACTTTATTGAACGATTAGAATCACTATCCGAAGTTTGTGTGTACGCGTGATATGGCGGCAGGCAGTCGTCTTCTGAAGTGTTTGTAGTCGATGTTAACTCCAGCGAAGGTGTGCTCAAATGTTTCGGCCTGTGCCAAGGAACCAAAACATCCTGTGACTCGAACTTGCGATGGCTCTGTTCCATAGCCCACACGGAAATGATGAGTCTTCCTCCGATCCGCAAGACCCTCGCCAGTTCCCTGAGGGCACAAATCCGCCTTTCGGTAGTCGCTAGATGGTGAACAACAGCAACAGAGAGCACGGCGTCCAGGCTTTCATCGCGAAAGGGCAGAGCCAAGTTGTCGAGGGCTATTACCTTAAAGACAATCATTAAAAGTAAATTAGGTATTGGTGTGGAAGACGCGGCTGTTATAGATAAGAAAAAGCAGGTTCGAGACACTTCTCAATCAGTTTGTACAATATCCGGGAAATTTCCTGTGTGTAAAAGGGTGGCGTGCTAGTGTGATAGCGCACTTACTTCGTTCTCCTTTTCGCGCGCCACTTCAGTCAATCGGATCGATTTATCGCCTCCCATGTTGAATATCGAGGTGTTCACGTTGAGATATTTTCCGTTGCCACAACCTGCAACAAAGGTGATGGGTTGGTGACCATCTAGTGACCTTTCATAAACAGAGTTGTCACGTAGATATTTGCATTATTGTGTGAATAATGATGAAAGTCCAAAGGGCAGTATACGATAAGGCTACAATGTTCGGCCCAGCTTGAGTTAACACTAAATCTGTGTATCACGAAGCAGGTTGCGTCCGTTAATTAATTTAAAGCAAAATATCTGCAATAAACGCAAATTCTACGATTTAGGGGGAATAAGAAAAAAATGTTAAAGTTTGTTGTCGGTATTACTAGATTTCATATAACTGCATTCTCACAACATAATGAAACTTCGTACACACGCAACCGAGACCATTCAGATGCAACAGATCCAGAAGTATATAATTCCATACTTTGTTTTTTAGAAAACAATGATTACATATTAGCACTAACCAAAATTTGCGAAGACGCTGCTCAAGTAACTCATAATAACATATTAAAAAACTGCGAATTTGCTCTATCAATAGACTGCTTAATAGCAGCATCACGAACTTTTGCACAAATGGTCCCGTTGTTTTGCAGATCGAGAAAGTGGTAATTTCGAATTAGTCTCTTAGAAAACTATGATACCGTCTCGCAGCATCATAAAACTTTGCACAAATGTTTTCGATGCAATCAAAACAGAATATCAGAAAATTGAGAATTGAGTTAAAGAGGGTGGTATATCAAAATTAATCGTCCTGAAAGTAACGACTGCGCAATCGCAGCATCGTAAAACTTTTCACAAATGTTCCCAAAGCAATTCAGAACAAAATATTTAAATATTTACATAGTTTTATGCTGCAACGATGAAGTCGTTACTTTCAAGATGACTAATTTCTGATGTACCATTCTCTGGATACATGATCGTTTTCCGGGGTGGAACCGTGTAAATTGAGTTTTTCGGTTCGTTCTCTGGTGTTGGGTGTGTGCAGTCATTGCTTTTTCCAATGCTTTTTCTAAGACACCCATTCGTGATTACCACTTTCTGTATCTCCAAAACAGGAGAGGATTTATCCTAAATTTTTTAATATTATGTTCGGTATTATCTCGAGAACATTTGTATAAAGTTGTATCACACAGTGATGATGTAGTCGTTACTTTCATAACGACTGATTTCTGACACAGGGTGATTCATAATGAGCCAAAAATACTTTTCAGAGCTTATGTAGATTCAAAATTCTATTTTTAATAAATATGTACATAAGTATAGCAAGTTTGTCAGTTTTGACATTAAAATCATAAGAGACTCAAGTCAAGGTGAAATATGTACTATCGAAAGATGTTTTAATAACGAACAGAATACAAAAACACAACAAATAATCAGTTAAGGAGATCTAAAAAATGCTGTCCACCACTTCTTTCTCAATTCTCATGCGTCAAGACGTTTCCAGAAAGATGTTCTCACTCTTACAGATCTAGAAGCGACAGTTATTCAGTGTTTCAGATTTTCTCCATTGTTGATAGGTGTTTGGTAGACACGATCGTTGACCATTCCCCATAAAAAGTAATCTAGTGGAGTTATATCCGGACTTCTAGGGGGGCAAGGATTAATTGAACCCCTAACTATCCATTTATTTGCATACGCTGGTTTATTCCCGAACAAATCGACAACAATGAAATTTTAGGGTAGTCTGTCTCTTTAAGCCCTTGGACCAAGATGATATGATAAGGATGAAACTTATTTTCCTTGGCAATTCTCCAAGCAGAAAACTGGCTAATGCCTACCCTTCTTGCCAGTTCGCGTTGTCCCACATGGGGTTCCTCCTCAAGAATTTCCATGAATTCTGGTTTGTGTTCCTCACCGGTAGCTCTAGATCTCCAAAACGCGAGAAGACTAATCCTGAATTTTGTAATAATTTTCCAAGTTCTTTCAACAGCGTTTCTGCAGTTTCGTTTTTTAAAATTATTCCTTTCTCGATCTACTGAATAACTAAAAAAAATGTGTATAATTTATTTATTGCTATTATTTTCAACATTCAACTAATCTACTTAGGAACTCATCGGATAAACATGTTTCTAAAATGTAGTCGATGCACAGTGAAAAAACTACTTGGCAGTTCACTTCGCAAATATCGACAATGTAACTGTAGATTTTGATTTTGAATTGTAAACGTGGATTTTAATATTTTATTTTAGTAACTATTCTGTCACTTGGTATTCTGACATACGAAATCACGTTCAGATTAACGTTTTTATAAGACTGTTTTCAATAATGCAAAAGAAAAGATATTACGTACAACAAGCCCACTCACTGCTTAATCCTAACTTACGGCGATTATGGGCCACAATTATGATGAACCCAAACTGTTGAAAATAATTCTTGTCTGTAGTGGTATAAAATTCAAACGCTAACTTTGATAACAATTAGCAGGCTGACCACCTAAAAAAGGTGTAAATACTGGTACTTATTTCATTACCAAAGTAATTTTTTCCTGTTTTTTTTTCATTGTGCGTCGACTTTCACACGACTTATTTTTTGACCTAAGTTTAGTTATTTAATAAAAAAACACTTGGTACTGAGTAGTCTACAGTCCCGGTCAGAAAATTTTGGACGTCAATGTGATTCCATTGTCACAAAGTGTAAAACACCTTTAACTATCAAACATCAAAATGACTTTAACATAAAAATATTATTATCATACTTATTCACTTTTTCCTATTATTTCACAGTATTTTTTCAATAGAAAACTAAAAATTTGCAAATTTTATTAATTATTGTCAGTATTATTTATGTCTGCAAAATTCCGCTACATTTCGAGGTTTTTTCCGCTATTGACTTTATTTTAATTGATAATAATAAAGATCCAAATATAAGAAACGATTATTTTCGACTTGAAAAAAAACCCGAAACGATTCAGCACATAATTTCATCCTGTAATATCCTGGCACAAACCAACTACAAATCTAGACACAACAAGGCAGCGAAAATCATTCAGAAATTTAAACTTAGTCCAAGATACTACACCCTATTACACTTACATTCCATCTCCATTTCTTGAAAACACGGAATACAAGCTATATTGGAATCGTACAATACTTACAGTCAGAAACATTACAATCAACAGTTCTAATATCTGGTCTAGAAATATGTAGGAAGTAAAGTATAAAATAAAAAGAAAATTCCACTAAGTCTAACTAAGTTAAAAGAAAACAACGAAAAAGAAAAAAGAATACTTAACTATCTAGTACGTAATCCAAGTATATGTTACCGGCAATCTGTATAATTCAGGTATTCTATACAATACCTAGGCAATGTGTAGAATAACGGGGGCGTCTAGGCAATGTATGAAATATTACGAATATGATTGTCCATTACATACTTTGCCTAGGTAATGTATACAATTCCTAGGAATTCAATAGAGTGCGTGGTGGTCCATCGGCAATGCGTAAAATAAAACAATCTTTATATCTAAATAAATCATGTTAAAGTCAAAATTCTTCTAGGTAAACTAAAATAATAACATGTTTGTCAACAATAATCAGGTAAGTACCTACCAAGTATTAAAAACTTAGGAAACAAAACAGTTCTATAAAAATAAGAAATAGATGTACTGGCTTCTCAGAATGCAGTAAATAAAATAGCTATTTATGGTATAAGTGAATAAAAGTGAATTTTATCCAACGAAAAAACAGTTCAGCACACGAGGCGAAGCTGAGTGTGATAATGTTTTTGAGTGGATAAAATTCGTTTATTCACGTGTATCGTACAAGATTTTTTCCCATTTCAGCAAAATTTTTCAAAAAATTTATTGTTTAGGTAATCCACATACATAAATATTAATTGTACTATGACTAATATGATGAACATTTGAAGAAGGTAAATACTTTATTCGTGTTGTCAATGACAGTGTGAATAAAGTGTTGCTATAAACATTTTATTCATTCTTTCGATTAGACTATTGGTTTAATAGCGAGATTTAACATACATAATGACTACTTTATTAGTAGAGGTTGGAAAAAATATTTTTTTTCACTTTGCACCATTTCAAAATAGCATTAAGATCCCTTTGAAGGGACAAATAATCCTCAATAGAACATATTTTGACAAAAAATTTCAACTCGTCTGCAAATAATAGGTTTTGATTTGTTATAACGTCAATTATGTCATTTATGAATAACAAAAACAACGGCGATCCAAGATTGGAGCCTTGTGGTATCCGAGATGAACGACTGTATAACCGAGAAACGTAGTTTTTGAACCTAATACACTGTTTTCTATCAAGTAAATACGATTTGAATAAATTAATAAGATGTGTTCTTAGCCTACCATGGAAACAATTTGAAAATGAAACAATTTTTTTATTCAACATAGTCCCCTTTCAAAGCTATACACTTGTTACAGTGATCCTGCAACTTTTCTAACCCTCTTAAAAAAAATCATTCTTCCTGTTCTTCAAACCAGGTCTCCACAGCCTTTGTTATCTCGTCGCCTGAAGAAAATTTATGGCCTTTTAAGTTTTTTTTATAGTTTTGTTAGTTATTGATTATCTGTTTTGAGGAAACAGGTAATAAATAATGCGAGGGAGCTAGGTCCGGAGAATAAGGAGGATGGTCAAATGTTTTGAAACCCAAATCAAGAATTATATTCATTGCAACGCGCGATTTGTGTGCAGGAGCATTGTCCTGTAAAAGCAGAACTACTTTGGAAAATATTTTGCACCTCGTTTCTACAATTTTTCCGCGCAGAATAGACTTGAGTACTATTCTCCTGTTACGGATTTGTCCTTTTGTAGATAATCAACCATAATTACCCTACGCGAATCCCAGAAAACTGAAGCGACAGATTTTTGCACCCGAAAGTTCTTGGTCCTTGAAGAACCAGAATGTCTCCATTCCATGGACTGTTGCTTTGTTTCTGGATCGTACAAATACAGCGAGGTTTCATCCATATTAATAACAGGGATTAAAAAGTCAGAGTCCTCATCAAAAAGGGCACACAAAGAGTGCGAAGTTTCCACTCTTGCTCGTTTTTGATAGGCATTCAAGCATTT